TATATATATATATATATAGAGAGAGAGAGAGAGAGAGAGAGAGAGAGAGAGTAGAGAAAATTGGAGCCCATGAATGCCCCACCAGCGGAGTCTCCGACAAACTTGAGAAGGCAGACAGCAGGGCCATTGGAGGAGGCGGGGACTAACGGGTTTGAAGAATTAGGGTTAGGGTTAAGGTTTGGATTGGTATCGAGCTCAGTGTTAGTGTCCGGGTCAGACTTCGGAGAATCCACCGACGTCGTCGCCATGGCCATTACTCTCTTTGTTTTCTATGAAGTCATGGCTGAGCAAGATTTGGGCGAGTGTGAGAGAGGAGAAGAGTTGAGAGAAATTGGGTTTCAGAAAATGAATTTTTGAGGGGATAAATGGTCAATATAGATATATTTATATGGAGGGCAATTGGGTACTTTCATGTTACAAAGTGAGTATTTTTGATTGAAATTTATAATGTGATTATCTTTGATTAAGGTTTATCTTTAGTGACTATGTATGTCAATTTCCCGCTATTTTAAGTATTTTTTATTTTGATATTGAGTATTTGAGAGGAAGTGAGAATAGTATTCCTTATTTTCTTACTCGGGAATTTTTACAGGGAAACAAATGGCAGAAAAAGAGTTATAAGATGGATTTTGGGCTTCTGAGGTCGTTTGGGCTTTCAAAAGGGCATTTAAAGATTGTAATCAATCTACAGACTTTTCGTTTATTTTCTATTAAGCTTTCAATAACTACCTAGGGCAGTCCAATGGGTGAAAATGATGTATTTAGACGTCATGTATAGTCGAACTCAACTCATCTTTTATCAAATAATACAAACAGTGAGAATTTTCTCTCTAACTTTATGGTGGATTCCAGGTTTACGTTCTTTTCTAGGTTACGCATGTAACCTATTTGCTTGTGTGTCACAAGATCAAGAAACCATAGTCTAGTAAAAAAGGTCAAGAGGGAAATAAGTTGCTGGATAATGTGGCAAGTATCCTATTTAAGGGAGCACACAGAAATGGATTTTTGTAGCGCTTGATTGCTATGGAAGCCCAAGATCTCCTGAAAAGAAGACGATTTAGGCTGTCAGATGAGACTCTCATAGAGCAAAGTTCACAGGGTTGTGGTCTACTAAAGGTAGAATTTTTCGGCGTTAGGGACGATACAGGCAAATTTTGAGGCGCTGGTTTGTTGTAGTGGAAGTGAAGTTTACAAAAGATGGAAGACTTTTCCTAGATCCAAATCGTCACATATTGACTACTGGGCCTTAGGTATAGAAGATGAAAAGGGGACTGTTGCATGTACACTCATTTTTATATTATTTAATCCTCAATAACAAATACAGAGCACCACAAACAAAGCCAGAAAAGCAAGCATTGAAACGGACAACACTCAGAGAATCTCAACAACGATTTCAAACAAACCATAATATACAAAACATATACAAAACAAACCCTCAAAAAAAGCATGGCATGATTAAACACTCTTAGTTTGTGGATCCACTTACCGAACACACTGCAGCTCCTCTTGGTCCTGTCATTGTCGGATTGAGTCTATGCTTCCAAAATGTCACAAATTGTGCAAATTTTTCCAATTACAACCTTAGTTTCACTCTTTACTCAGAGGTCTAGTTTGGGATTGTTTTTTTGGCCAAAAATATGCTGCACTTTAAAGTTTAAGGTATTTGGTAAGAATAAAAGAGAAATTGGCTAAAATAGCCCTTTTTCACAACTTCTGTTCTAAAATAGACCCCCCTTGCATTAAAGTGGCACTATAGGGACAATAAAGAGACACTGTATGGGGCATGGGCTATTATAGAATAGAAGTTGTGAAAAATGACTATTTTAGCACAAACTCCAAAATAAAAGTACATGACTGTTTCAATTCCCATAATACCATCATTAATTTTTAAAAATGACATCATCTACCACCACAACCACCTTCACCTGCAACTCTACCACCTCCACCACCATCACCCACCACCTCCACCACCACCACCACAACCACCACTGTCACCTCTACCTCCATCTATAAAAACTGTGAATCTTGACGAATGTAAGACAAGAAAGGGCAAGATCAGTGAGCCCCCCATATTAATCGGAGAGGAAAATGTCAAGTGTCATATATGTGGACACTTACTAGCCTTTTGCATTTTGTCCTCTACAACTCCAGGTGAAGCTAGCGATATTTGGATGAAATTCCCTAAACTTTATCGGCAAGTGTATAATTGGCAATTTAAATTAATTCGAGTGCTAAATTGCCTATTTTTTTAATTCATGAGTTACGTTCAATTATGGTCATAGTTCGAGATATTCATCATTTTACTCTAATGGTGTGTTTACTAATCAGGAATTAGAATTCTTATCATAAATTTCCACCTATGGTGGATTCCTGTGTTTACTTCACATCAAAGAATTAAAAAGTAAGTGGAGCCCACACAAAATAAGGAATTGAATTATTGATTTTGGAGGAATTCAATTCTTGGGTAGGAGGTGGTATACTAACGCATTAAGAATTCATATTATTACCCATTATATCCTCACACAATTTTAAAAATTCCAAAATTGCCATCTACTTTAACCCAACAACGAGGACAATTCTAATAAGAATTTGGAATTTAACTCTCCCAATTCATATGGTTAAGTAAACAACTTTAATAGGAATCCGGAATCTAATTTTTCTTAATCCAACTCTTCCTCAATTCAATTCCTCTTCCAATTATGGATTAATAAGCATGTCATAATAATAAACAAACGGTTTAGCAAAGACCTTTCTTCATATATTGAAATTGCAATTGCTGATTGTTAAATGCAAATTGCGATTTGTTAAAAAGAAATTGTGATCATGTGAGTTGGACGTTTAGTGGTCTTCATCAACAAACGCCCAGACCGTTGATCGGTGGTGATGTTGTGATGTAAGCCACTGTGAAAGAGAATATCTATACTCAATTTGAAGTTCAATTTATAAGGGAACTAGTCAAACCTAGAGCTTTGTGCTATTTGTCTTTCCACACCTTGCCATCATCGCCTTCACTCTTCTTCTTGTTTTCTAAACTAGCTAAGCATCGATCTGCTCTTTGGCTTGCACTCGGAAGTATGGCAGAAATGTTCCTGCTTACTTTTTCTGCTGAGGGAATACTTACAAAGGTGGCCTTACTTGCTACTGAACAATTCAGTCTTGCCTGGGGATTTGGAAGAGAACTAGAATGTCTCCGTCAAACAGTGTCCAAGATTCAAGAGATCTTACCTGATGCTGATGCTGCAGATGAGCAACGACAAGATGGAGGCACGGTGGACCAAGATTGGGTGAAAAAACTTAAAGACGTAGCTGATGCTGCAGATGATGTCTTGGATGAAATCAACTATGAAGTTCTCCGGCGCAAACTAGAACTTCATAACCACATGAAGAAAAAGGTACTCAACCTCCTTTCTGCCTCCAATCCCATTTTATTTCGTCGAAAGATGAGACAGAAACTTCAAAAGATCAACGCAGATTTTGTGAATCTCAAAAATGAACCATGTACCACTGAACTAGTTGATAAAAAAAAGAAAAGTGTAGCTGCAACCTCTAAAAGATTAGCACAGAGAGAATCTTTCAGATCCTATCATAGGGTTGAAAAAATCATTGAAAGGAAGGAGATTTTGTCAGAAATAATTGCAACCCTCATCAACCCCAACAATCAGGAAAACCTCTCGGTTATGGCCATTGTGGGAATGCCAGGGCTGGGAAAGACAACCTTGGCTCTATCCATATACGAAGAACTTGAAAAGAAAAATGATTTTGACAAATTAATATGGGTTAAGGTATCTATCCCTTTTAATGTCAATTCAATCTTAAATAAGATCTCAAAATTTCTTAGCCCAACAACAGCTGAAATAACAGAAAGTCAGGATGGGCTTGAAATCCTCAAACAAGAGTTGAAAGGGAAAAGGTATTTTCTTGTACTCGATGATGTTTGGAATGAAGATCGTGAAAAATGGGAAGAATTGAAGAAATCCTCAAACAAGAGTTGAAAGGGAAAATGTATTTTCTTGTTCTCGATGATGTTTGGAATGAAGATCGTGAAAAATGGGAAAAATTGAAGACTGGTTTGTCAGCACTTGATTCTGCTCGGGGCAGAATTATTGTCACTACCTCTAGTGCCCAAGTTGCATCTATTACAGGAACACTTAAGAGGTGTGATTTGAGATGTCTATCAGAAGATGAATGTTGGTCCATATTGAAGCATAAAGCAGGTATTGATGATAGTGCTCCAATGTCTCCAGATCTTGAGAAGATTGGAAGGGAGATTGTGAAAAGGTGTGGGGGTGTACCACTAGTTGCACAGGTACGCTCTGTTACATTTTCTATTAGAATTTTTTTCCTTTTCCTTTCCCTTTTGATTCTTATTTGTTACTACTTAATCTTCCAGTCACTCGTTTTTTAAACTGGTCTTTAATCTTCTTATTTTCTTCTCATTGTCTTTGAGTAAATAAATAAAAAATCAACTAGAAATAGCCCCTTCAAACTCTTATGCTATAGAGTATAATAAACCATTCACATTCTCAAATGGGTTCTTCAAAAGCTTTGATTTTTGGGGCTGGGAACGATAAAGCATGATCAAATCATTTTTGGTGGATGAAATATTACTGTTTTTTCAAATAAGTGAATAAGTGATAATCACCCATTGGATGTGTGCCTCCAAGTGCTCCAGGGTTCAAGCCCCCATGGTGTGTGTGAGTTTTCAAATTCCCTTCCTAACTTTGGCCCAAAAAAAAGGGTGAAAATCTCTGTTAGCATATTAGTCGACGAGGGGCATTTTATAGAATTTTTGACATTTAACCATAACGGCGTTTTTCATTATATATAGTTATAGACAAGTACATTTATAAAACAAAATAATAATTTGTAAACAACAATAATACACCTAAATAACCACAACACACTCCTAGTATGGTACATCATGATCCATTAGAGAAAAAAAAAGGTACATTAACGAAAATTGGGTACATTATTATTTATATGAGGAAAGTAATATCCACGGAATTTCATTTTGCACCCTCTAGAATGAACCAAATTTCACCTGGCACCATGAAGTACAAAATGTTGCAGCGTAAACTTTAAATTTTTTTATTTCTTTCTATTATCAGGATTTTCTCTCTAATATTGGGGTGGAATGTAAAATTTGGTGAATTGATGGGTGCAGAATGTAATACCCAATATTAGCAAAGAAAATCCTGATAATAGAAACAAGGTTACGTGAAGGGAAGAAATAGGGTAAATCCACCAGGAAATATATATATACAGTGGGTTAGACTGTAGAAAAAATCTAATACAAGGTGATAAAGTTCTGTTTATTTATTTTTCTTCGTATTGTAAAGAGGTTGAGGAGTTCTTTTCTCATTGATTCCATAAGTGCAATGTTGATCCTTACCAAGTAAATATAAGTTATTTCATAATAATTCTATTTTAAATACTTCTAACCAAATTTGTCATCGGAAAGCTAGCTCTAAGGAAACAAGAAAAAGCAAAGTTTGTCATCGATGCAAAATAATGTGGAAATATAGTGAACTTCAACTAACCTAATATTGATAGTTTTTGTTATTATCGCTAATTTTACGCCCTTAGTTTATCATATTTATCATTTGATATGAATTCTAACAGTGTACTGGCAGGTTTTCGGGAGCAGGATGCATAATAAAACTAAAGAGGAATGGTTGTCAATTCAAAAAACAAGAACTTGGGATTTACCAGGAGGGGAAAGAATCTTGTCGGATTTGAAGTTGAGTTTTGATAATTTGAAATCACCTTTTCTGAAACAATGTTTTGCTTATTGCTCAATGTTCAAAAAAGATTTTGAAATTGAAAAAGATAACCTGATCCAACTGTGGATGGCTCAAGGACTGCCGTTTCACCATTCTCCCAACAGAAGTGATCAAGAGATAGAGGACATAGGCAATGAATATTTTAATACTTTGTGGGAAAATTGCTTATTCCATGATGCTACGAAGGATGATTGTGGTACCATTACCAAATGCAAGATGCACGATGTTGTGCATGATTTTGCAGAGCTTGTAGCCATATCTGAAAGCTTGACATGGGATTCTAATATTGATGAGATGGATGGGAAACGAACAATTAGACATGTTGCAGGAGTTACTACTTCAGTATTTGAAAAAACTCCAGAGAAATTGCGCTCGCTGTTTTCGAATGATGCTGTCCCTAGTGAGATGTTACCAAAGTTTACAGCTTTACGTGTCTTGAATTTATATCAGGCTGATATTGAGGAGTTGCCAAGTTCAATAGGCAAGCTGAAGCAGTTGAGGTATTTAAACGTTTCTAGAACAGAAATCAAAGCACTTCCCACAACTATCGGCATGCTCCATAACCTACAGACGTTAAGAATGCAGAAGTGTAAAAAGCTTAAAGTGTTTCCAAAGGAAGTACAAGATTTGGTCAACTTAAGGCACATTTATTTTGATCCTGTCCAAGAAAAGAGACATATTAATTTTGGTTGGTACAGGGAACTTCCAGTAGGGATTGGGAAATTGACTAACCTCCGGACAATACCTTGCTTTATTGTGGGTCTAGGTCATGGAATTGAGGAGTTGGCTCTCTTAAACAAATTGAAAGGGATACTGACTATTTATGATATGGAACATGTGAGTGCTAGAGGAGAAGCGAAGAAAGCAAATTTAGTGGAGAAGAGAAACATATTCAAGTTAACACTTGTATGGAGCGAGGAAAGGAAGCGGATCAACAACAACGATGATGATATACTACAAGGCCTCGAACTACCCTCTAATTTGGAAACTTTAGAGATTCACAATTTCATGGGTGCTAAATTTTCCTCATGGATGCCACAGGTGCCACTCCAGAGCTTGAAAAAGATTCGGTTACTTCGGTGCAACGCATGTGAAGAAGTCCCAATATTTGGTCATCTGCCTAATCTTACACATGTTGAGATTGATACGATGAGTAATCTAAAAACTGTGGGAAAGTTTTATGGCTATGTTGGCGATGCAGGAGTTTCCACAAGTGAGGAGACGAAGACTTTGTTTCCAGCATTGAAAACATTAAGAATTTGTACAACCCCCAATCTGATCAAATGGATGGAACCATCGGAAATGCCAAATGGAAAAATAGTGGTGTTTCCTTTCCTTGAGGAGTTGACTCTCTCAGAGTGTCCTCAATTGAAAGATGTTCCAAATCATTTTCCAACCCTCTGTCAATTGGAGATTAGTATTTGTCATGAATTGTCAAGTCTACAGAGTGTGCTAGACAAGTGTACCTCTCTTCAGGATTTGGAAATAAGCAGTTGTGATGGTCTAATATCCATGTCAATACAGAGTCTGAGATCCCTCCGGAAATTGGTGATTAGTTTCTGTGGTGGATTGACATCAGTGGGTCCACAGAGAGGACTGGAGTTTTATTCCCCAGTCTCTCTTGAGGAGTTGTCTATAAAGTGGTGCAGACGTCTGGAGTACATCCCAACTTTATATGGATGCACATCCCTCCGTAAATTGACCATTGCAGAATGTGATGCATTAACAAGTGCACTGAATGGGCTAGAATCTTGTACCTCTCTTCGTTCCATGAATATCCATGCTTGCAAAAATTTGAGTTACTTACCACATGGGCCACCAAACCTTGTCTCTCTTGAGTACTTGTCAGTAAGTGAGTGTCCTAATCTAGAGACTCTTCCAAGTTTAGACAACCTCAAATTCCTCAGTGAATTGCATATTCATAATTGTGATGCATTAACAAGTGCACTGAATGGGCTAGAATCTTGTACCTCTCTTCGTTCCATGAATATCCATGCTTGCAAAAATTTGAGTTACTTACCACATGGGCCACAAACCCTCGTTTCTCTTGAGTACTTGTCAGTGAGGGACTGCCCCAGTCTAGAGACTCTTCCAAGTTTAGACAACCTCAAATTCCTCAGTGAATTGCATATTCATAATTGTGATGCATTAACAAGTGCACTGAATGGGCTAGAATCTTGTAGCTCTCTTCGTTCCATGAATATCCATGCTTGCAAAAATTTGAGTTACTTACCACGTGGGCCACAAACCCTCGTTTCTCTTGAGCACTTGTCAGTGAGGGACTGCCCCAGTCTAGAGACGCTTCCAAGTTTAGACAGCCCCACAACCCTCAGTGAATTGCATATTCATAATTGTGATGGATTAACAAGCCTACCGAATGGACTAGCATCCTGCATGTCTCTTTCCTCTCTCACAATATGGAAATGTAGGAAACTACAACAGTTTCTGACAGGGCTACACTGCATCACGGAATCGAAAATTGGTGGGCTCTGGGAGGAGCTCGATTTCTTCCCAAGTTTCCCAAATTTTACACAGCTGGAAAGATTAACATTGTGTGGGTGGCCTAAGCTCAAGTCTTTGCCTCAAGAACTTCAGTACTGCACTTCTCTAAGATTTTTGTATATAGCATCTTTTAATGGAGTGGAGTCTTTCCCAGAGTGGTTGGGTGACCTTACATCTCTTCAATTGCTGAATATTAAGAGTTGCAAGAATCTGATGCATCTCCCTACAGCCAAAGCTACGCAACGTCTCACCAAATTAAAAACGCTAGCGATTTATGATTGTCCCAGACTAAAGGAAAGATGCACCAACGAGAGGGGCCCAGAGTGGCCCAAGATTTCTCACATTCCAATTATCTTTGGTAATTTATTTTCTTCAAACCAGTTGTTTATGATTCATTCAATTTTGTTCTCACTTTTCATTTAGCTTGATTACTTGGCAAGTTGGCATAGAGAAAGAGATCAAAGAATTGGGGTTTAATACTGAATATCTGCAAGCATATATAATACTCAGCTCATTTATACTTGGTTAATCTTTTAACTGTTACAATTGATTTCTGAATAACTGTCTAACCACTGTCCCTACTGATTCTCAGTTATGGATTGATGACATGTCAAATGACCTGACGAGGAGGCTGCTGTATGCTTTCTTTATATTTTGTTTTTGGACTGAAGCTACTGTACTCTTTCACACAGTTGGATATTCACGGTTTTCAGCTTGCATTCCAGTTATGTGTACTACCAATTCCTAATTGCTTGATGTTTAAGCAATGTAAGCTTTTCAAACCACCACCTGCTCTTCTCTTCTGAAGTTCCTCCTTGATTAGATTGGAGCTGTTTTTTGGTGCACTGTACTCTTCCCTGGCTGATCTGGTCCATCTTCCCCCAACTATTCGCTTACAATGTCGCTTTCTTTCTCTAGCCTTTGCTCCAATTCTTCTCAATTGGAAGAACAACGCATGTGAAATAGGTGCAAACTGAGTCCAGGTACTTCAGTTCCCTTTCTCCTGCATGGTCATTTACTTGCTTTGGAGATATATATATATTTTGGTCATAGCTTCTATGGCGATAATGCACAAGCTATTTGGTGACTAATTTGATGAAAGTTGGCAGCCTAATAATCATATTATTCATTTCCATTTAATCATAATGTGCAGTTGATCACTGTCATGGAGAATATAAGTACTCTTAGAGATATAACATATATATTTTACTTGTATGTCAGATATTTTATTTTAGTCATAATTATTATGATATCTATTTTTCCAAGAAATGTTGTGTTGAATTTTTATTTTAGTTGTGAGATGCTTTGTATGCTTCAATTTTAGTGTCATTCTCAAGTTAAAAAGCCTCTTATTTTGCTACACTTTTCTGGTTTGGCAGTCCATTGCAATTGCGGATGTATGGACTGGAGGGGGAATTATTTTGTCATCAGGAGCGTAAAAAGTTTCGTGACATTGGTAGAAGATCTCCAGTGTCACGGGTGTTGGTTTGGCTGGTGGAGGATCTGGAAGGTATGCAACCGTTTAATTTTTGATGGCATATATAGTGGCTGGCCTGCCAGTCGTTCTGCAATCCGTATTGAGTAACTCGGAGAGTTTACTGCAGCCTTCTCTATGGATAGGGGATGTGTTTTCTGTAGATCACGTGCACAGCCAGTAAACTACGATGTGTCATGGCAAGCACAAGCTAGTCATGGGTAAGAGGTTGGTTTGCGGGGGGCATGGAATGATATCCAGAGAGACCACTTAAACTCAGTTTTGCTAGTCTAAGTTGCTCAACTGCCCTGGAGGTTGTGTAGAGGATGTGAATGTCAAAGATATCTGGTTGCTTTCAATCAGTTTTGAACATCTTTCGTGTATTTATAATTTATGTTCTCAATAAGGGCCACATTAACTCCAGAAATTGCAGAGTTTGGTACTCAGCATGTGCATAATTCTCGCTTTATCCCAATATGAAATAATATTAGTGAGTTGATGCCAGTTTCTGCTCATTCCAAGGATGCACAATCTGCAGTAGTTGTTATCAAACAATTAATCTGTTGAGGAGCTCTGTTTGTAGTTTAAATTATTTTAGTTTCATTTGGTGATCTGTGCGTTCCCTGGTTTGGAAGATATTTTGTACTTCGATGTCTCTTCAAGGGCTCTTCAAGGGCTATCATTACGAGCGACGTAGACCAAACTCAAGCCACTACCTGAGAAATTTCAGAACCTCACTTCTTTGAACGCTTTACTGATCGTGTTGAAAAATCTTTTAACAACAATGTCAGTATATATAGACATGTGGATATATCAGGCAAAGCAATATATGTCCAATACTGAAAATCCAAGAATACAGAGAGGTCTTTTATTTTGTTTTGGTCGGAACATCAAGGGTCTAATTGGAAGATGGTGAGGAAATTCTACTAATATCCAAAAATGTTGTAAAGAATGTGGTGGAGAGACAGAAATTTGAGAGTGTGAGAGCTCTATCTTAGAAGAGTTCTATCAGAGGAAGAAAGTTCTGTCAGTGTAAAAACCACAACAAAATGAATCCACCATTTAGAATGTTTTTATTGTATAGGTTGTGGCTAAAGTTCATTTCCTAAGCATTAGATGCATGTTTCCTTCACACTTGACTGCACAGGTCGGGAAGAGTGGTGTGCATTAGGCCCAATGGCATATGGCCCAGGGCTCTAAGGTTTAGCTCAACTAGGATAAACAAAATGAATCCGCCATTTAGAATGTTTTTATTGTATAGGTTGTGGCTAAAGTTCATTTCCTAAGCATTAGATGCATGTTTCCTTCACACTTGACTGCGTAGGTCGGAAAGAGTGGTGTGCATTAGGCCCAATGGCATATGGGTCAGGGCTCTATTAGTGGCGTACACAAGTGCATACGTCAAATGTGATTGCAAAGGAGGGAGCGAATGGATTTGCTCCAAAATTGGGACGATGTGCAGCGGCTACGGGCAGTTGTGAAGCTTCGGGAGGCAGTTGCATCGCATTAGCAGTCATGGGAGGCTACTGCAAGGTGCTGGCAGCTGCTGCCCATGGTGGATTACGACATCGCGGTAGCAATACTCCTTGTATCAACCATGGTTGATCGGAACAAAGTGAGGAAAATGGATTTGGAGCACGCTCTGAGTATTATTTTACGCTCTCAATGAAAGCACCAATTTGTGGGAGCGATTTTCGTCCCCAAAGAATTTGTCTGAAGATCCTTTCTTCCTATTCACTTATTGTTCTCCCTGCAAAACAATATGGAGAGAAAAGACCACACCCGGGGTGTTGGCCAAAGGCCCTCCGATGCCTAAGTTAGGTTGAATGTTTGTAGGAAAAACAATAGCTAACAAAGGGTATGAAGATTTCTCTATGGAGGAACCAGGTGGCTGGAGCCTTGTGTGTGAGAGAGAAAGGGTTTGTGAGAGAGGATTTCTACAGAGTTTCAGACAGAAGTTTAGACGTCAGTTTAGAGTTACCCCAACCCTTGATGTAGCCATGTATTTATAGGAGCCTCAGAGGCTAAGGTTTCGAAAGAATAATTCCACAGATAAAAAAGAATTATTCTTTCCCAATTTAAAGAGATTGATTTAATTAGGGATTTGCTTATCAAATCCATAGATATTTTGCTTCCACGCTAATATCCCCGATATTATCCCGATAATATCTTATTTTTGGGGGTCCGATATTTTAACAACTAACCATAGTGTTATCGTCAA